CAACATGAAACTGTAATAACAAAGCCCAGAACCAATGACCATGTCCTGTGAATTATTGTCACAAAGCAACAACCGTCGAACTCTCTCAGGTAACTCTCTCAGGTAATCCATTTTACCGAAAAGAATTCTTAGCAAGGAAAGTAATCTGCAAGAAAAGATAGAAACAAAGAAACATTTAATAAAACACATTGCAGCTTCTCCAGCAACTTTTAATTAGCCAGCAAACAAAGTACACATTGCAAACAGTATCCTTAGAAAAACACATTGAGCTCTAAAAGAAGAGTAAGGTAGAACGAAGAGAACAAAATCGTCCAAAGTATACAGTATACGTAAGAACAAACAATACTACTACAATGTTCAAAAGAAAACAAAACAAAAACTAAAATATAACTGAGAAAGCACGAGATGAGCTAACCTTTGATTATCTGGGACAATGAAGCAAAAACAATGGTGTCAAAGACAGATCCAGTCCACCAACACCTTTGATTAACGAGAGTGAAGCAATAAAATCAAAGAAGAAGGTCAATTATATAGGGCTTTGAACTAAACTACTTCCTGAATTGTCCCTAAAACCCAATCTCACCAGTAAACCCCAAAAAAATCATAAAAAGGGTAAGAAATAAACAAACAGGTAACACTAGGAATTTTATAACGGGAAACCAAATAGAAAAGTAAGTCCTACATATAAATACCATACGCATATTCAAAAAAAAAAAAAAATAAATAAAAAATTCCTGTTTTCTCTCAACCAAAAAAAAAACAAAAAATTCCTGCGTTTTATTTGATCAACAATAAAAAGGTTCCTGTTTCTTCCTTGATTAAAATAATATTAATAAAAGTTTCCTGATTCTTCCTTAAAATAAAATTTTTTTTTTTTAAAGTTTCCTGCTCCTATCAAGATTAATTAGGTCATTATATGAATACATGACTTTACGGATGAATGGAAAGCATATTGATCAATTGAATAAATTACACGCTTTAGCTTATATTTCATACCCACAACCAACCCTAAATTCCCTTTTGCCTCAGTTAGCATTCCGATATCATGGCCGCTGAGCTCACCTCGGGTCAAGACCATGCCTTGACGATGGCTTCATGCCAGGATGAGCTCCTTGCCAAGACATCGAAGATCAAGAAATCTCTGCGCAAGATATGGGCGATGGAGAAGTCTCTGCGCGAACTGGGGGAGAACGAGAAATATCTAGCCGCACTTTTGGCCCAGAAAATCCAACTGATCGATTTGAAGAAATTAATTTCGAAGGAGCTTCGCCTACTACGCCGCAGTAGGGCCGACAGTCGCAAACATGGGTCAGTGCATGGCTTACTATGTAGATTTCAGCTTCTTAATTTTTGTTTCCCATTTGCATCGCTGGATTTTTTATATATGTTATATAATATAAAATGTTTACCTTGCTATGTTGATTGTGTAGCTTTGGCTTCGTTCATTAATTCTCTCTAGGTCTGGAAGTTGTTTGGAAAGATTAATTTGACTTGTTTTGTATATCTCTTCTCTGTCCAGCTTGCCCATGGTTGAGAATGCATCGACGACGGTAAATCAGGGGGAAGATAGATCTTTGTTTTTAATGGTTACTTTCATTAGGGGCAAATACACTGATGTCATATATGAAGTTAAACTCAAATTTGGAGGAGAAGTTGATGATATGGGTGCACGAGTAGCACGTGTAGCCAAGTTTAGTGGTTCTACCCATTTGGGTGCAAGGCTTTTTGACCGCTCCCAACTATATATGTTTCCAGATGAGGGTTGGGATAAACCTTGCGTTGATTCATTTGGAGGGTATATCTTTGATACGAAAACTAGGGCATTAGATCACTTAACACCTTCTACCGTACAGTTTAAGCAGCATGGAACAGTTGTGTCGGCATATGGCACGCTTTATTTTCTTGAAGCCGAAACGGAGTTCGTACAAGGTTCAGCCTTATTCTTTGGGAAATACAACCCTGATAGGAAGGATTGGGTGCAAATGCCTTCGTGTCCATTTTCTTATAAGTTTACTATGGGGGTAATTGGTTATGCCGTGGGTTTTGGCGTTATTTTGTATACATTGTCCGACTTGCACGGAAACTTTGACGTCCTTGCTTTTCACGTGGGTAGAAAGAATTGGAAACGAGTGGAAATTGGCACTTGTACTCCTTTCCGAGGGAGGGCCGTGATTGTTGGCAAGACTATCTATGCCTTACATATGTTTCAGGTGGAGGCAATCATAGCATACTCCTTGGAGATTAAAGAAGATGATGAAGGTGGTATTGAATATTCACTAGTCCAGCTATATGAATTAAACGGCCTTGACATTGCAGATCCGCCATCACAATTTGATGGACTTGTAACCGACTATTTGGTTCATCTGGGGAACCAAGACTTTGTTTATTTTAAGACTGGCACTAACGGAGAATGTGATAAGGTTCAAGATCTTTGTATCACCACATTTCAAATTGTTCAAGAAGGAAGAAGACATATGATCAAGACCTTACATTCAACTGTTCTTCCTATGAAAATCGATGTCCGTAATTGGTTCATGCTTACACTCGGCTTTACTCCGTAAGTTTTCTTCACATTTCTCGTGTTTTCATCAATAACATTAATCTGTATGTTGGATTTTATTGTTTACGATGATTACGACTCTCAGAGAGTGCGGAGATTATGAACCCAAAGAAGGTAAGAGTGCAGCAAGCATGAAGCAGCCAAAACAAGAAGATGACACCACTTTGGATGAGAATTCTTTGATGCATGAGGTAAAAGAAATGCATTTACATGAAATTGATTTTTGTTTTCCTTTCTTTAATGACCATGAATCATGAGACTCAATTGTTTGCATGTCTATAAGTGTTCTTATTAGCATTTGGATATAGTTTTTCTCACATAATATAATTGGGTTTTGCAGGAAGAAGCCAAACATGAAGTAGCCTTAATGCATCATGAAAAAGCAAACCAGAAAAAACCCAAGAATGCAAGGGGAATAATTAAAAACAAAAGAAAAAGAAAAAGCGGATGGAAGGAGGGATTACATGTAACCAAAAAAAAGAAGGTGGGATTACAGGTAGTAGAAAACAACCTGTAATGTGATGTGAGTACTTGAGGAGCAGAGCTGGGAATCCGTACATCTTTGATTAGATATTATTGAGGCATTTTACTGCCATCTTTTGTTCACTGTTGATATTGCTAATATAATTATCATGGTTCAGTTTGTTGCTGCACAAACTGATGAATGTAGAGTTCAATTTCGTTTCCAGTACAGGCAATATATATTAGTTATTGGTTTTAGAAGGTTTGGGATCTTGATCATGTGGTTTCTGTTGGTTCTATCTTGCTTCACCGTCTTCTCACTTAGACTAATGCCTTAATTAGCATTTGTTAGCTAAAATTCTGTTTATTTCAGTAATTAATACACATGAAAAAGAAATAGTCTGAATGTTAATAGAAATTTAAATTGTTTCCTTTATATATACTGAATAATGGTATGTATTGCCTGAGGAAAAGAAATCCTTTGAAGCCATCATTGGCCTGTCTTTAATGGAAGACACGGCTTGAATTACCGTTAACCAGAAAAAATGAGGGGTATTTTTGGTAGAAATCAACTGCATACACGACTGAAGATGTTAGAAACCAACTACAACAGAGACTAAAGAAGGAAGAGGTCTCACTCTCAAAATATGGGTATTTTTGGTAGTTAAAATATGGTGTACTTAGTTAATTTTACATTTTAATTTAAATATTATGATATACTTAAATCGTGGGGTGTACTCAGTTAATTTTAGGGTTCGTTTAACAAGACCCAATTGAAATTCCAAAATTTAATATTATAACCATTCCCAACTATCCATCTCATTTCCTGAAATAAAATAGGTTGAAATTTTAAAATGCTTATCCAGACTCACAAATATAATTGGGTTTTGCAATTGCTTTATAAAAAGAAGAATAATTTTCCATCCCAATTTAGCTAGGGAAGCATTATTAACCAATTGTAGTTTTCTTAATCCAAGCCAACCAAGCATTATTAGCTCCTCTTTTTTTTTTGGTCGAACCAAGCATTATTAGCTAGGGAAGATACTTATGAGGTCTTTTGGTTGTAAATAGTATTCCATGCAATAGGCGGAATTTTAGTAGAAGTCCGCAAAAGAAGTTCCTTGCCTGAGTTTCCATTCTATTAACTAGCCTCTTTGCATATGCGTGAGGCAGATTATGAACCCATATACGATAAGAGTGCAGCAAGCATGAAGCAGCTAAAACAAGAAGATGAAACCACTTTGGATGAGAATTCTTTGATGCATGAGGTAAAAGAAATGTGTTTACATGAAATTCTTTTTTGTTTTTTCTTTGAATGAAGAGACTCAATTGTTTGCATGTCTATAAGTGTTTTCATTAACCTTTGGGTCTAATTTATCGTAATATATATAATTGGATTTTGTAGGAAGAAGCCAAGCAGGAAATAACTGCTAGACAGCCAGAAAAAGCCTCCATTCAACAGGAAAAAGCCAACCAGAAAAAAAGACAAAAAAGAAAAATCTTTTGGAAGGAGGGATTACAGGTAGTAGAAAACAAGCTGTAATGTAAGTACCTGAGGAGCAGAGCCATTGATGATCACAAGCAGAGACATTTTACTGCCATCTAGGCCCTTACTGGCTGTTATCTCTAGCTCATAGTTGATATTGCTATTTTTGGTGTACCATTCTCAATAATAAGCTCACTGACCTCTAAATCTTCTTGCCCTTGTTGCATGGGAGAGGCAATACAAAAATTAATTGGTCTAGGAATCCACCGCGATCCCCCCCAAACCTGAATAGAAAAAAAAAAGGGAAGGTGCGGATATAATTTATAAAATCAATTCACCACTCCAACAACAACAACAAAATTTCAACTCACCACTAGCATATATAATGTAATAATACAACGTGAGCTATGAAAAAAACAAGGAAGATCACGTGGCGAGTCACGTGGCTGGGTTCATTGCGCACCAAAAAGGCAAGCGCTCACCACACGCCCTCCCCTGCCTCGTTTTCTCCCGCCACACTCTCTGTCTTCCTCCCCTCCTCCTAAATGCCAAACGTACAGTTACCTTACCTCGTTGGTCAATGACATTTTGCTGTGTAAATATATACCCCCCAAATTTCAACCAAATCCTTTGTTATTTTTCTTCGCAATCTATTGAATTTCTCTTAATCCAAGACCCATTGGTTCTGCCCAGCATTTCCAACTGCAGGTGAGGTAGGTGATTCAGTAAATTTTTCATTTTCTCAATCTAATTGTGCATTTCCTCTGGGTGTATTCTTCTTTCTTCTCCACAAAATGGTTTCTTTGTTCTGATCTAGGGTCTCTGGAATTATGGCTTTTTGTTTCTTTCTAAACAGTACAAATCCTTTTTCTGGATTGGGGTTAAATTGATGTCTAATTCCGAATTTCTCGTAGTTCAAGTATCATTTTCTACAAGATGGGTTAAAAGCTATCATTTCAATTTATTAATTGTAATATTTTTGCGGTTCAGTTGATTAAGGGTTTTTGTTTACTGAGCAATGAGGTAGAACAACCATATGTAGGAAAGCAAGCTAGGGTTTCATTTTAAAATTCAATATCTATATATAAAGTGCAAAAATTCAGGCCCAATAACGATAAATATGGTTGCCTACTGTTGTTTGGAGGATCATCTGACAAGATTCAAGAATGTCTGAATTTGGTATTGCTTCTTATTATAGGATATAAGGCCCTATTCAGTTCTTAGAGACGGTTATCGGATCATGGGTTCACAGGATCCTGTTCCGGCGGCTGACAAGGCCAATGTAACGGAGGCCTCAGTGCGCGGGTAAGTTGTTCAGATCTTAATTTTCACATGAGCGCATAAGCGTTGTTATGAGTGCTAGAAACTTTCTTTATCTGGATTGGATATTCTAATGCTTGGCATATTAATTAAAGGCTGGAAGTGTCCGTGTGTACTTAGGAACGGTCAAGCTTGTCCTACTTTAGTTAGAAACTTGATGATGCAAAATAGTGTAACATTTTGAAAAGGAGTTGCAAATTGAAAATTTAGAAATGGGGTTTCTGAAGGAATGATGAAAAAGATACAGGGTACACACATTATGTTGTGGAACCAGTATAAGTTTCGTCCCTGTCAAGATCTACCTAACGTTGGGGAATGTTGGATGTGCTGCCCACTAAATATGTAATTCGGCCCATTTTGAATTAGCTTTAATAGAAATATAGCTGCAACTAGTTATGGATACATTTTGGAATAGAATTTGCTCAGAGAAAGTTTATGGTATTCATGTGAAGGAAAGAATACCTATGATTCGTTTTTGACAGATAGCCTTTGTAACTGATTAGAGGCTTAGGCCCTATTATGAACAAAGAATTTGATTCCCTGTTGATAAAGCTGATTTCTTTCAGATAAATCTCTTTCTGATGTGGTAATACTGTTTTTATTTTTAAATGCCACTTGTACTTTATTTATTTTGAACTTCATACTGCTCATGCGTTATAAAAGATTTTAGAGGGTCTTCCAACAGAATTTTTTCTGGCCATTATCAACTTGTGTGAAGTCATTTTGAATAATGGATGTAACTCATCCAAGTGGCTTAACATGACTGTTTATTAGGATGAAAAATCACTCTGATTTCTTGGCTAGATGTTTACAAAGCTGTTTGATGTGCAGGGCTTGTTCTGGAAAAAAGATTCAGGGGAAAATACCTAAGAGAATCCACAAGTCTGAGAGGGAGAAACAGAAGCGTGAGCATTTTAACGAGCTTTTTCTTGAGCTGGCCGATGCTCTTGGTAACTAATCTTTTATTTGTTAGAAGTTCACTATGATGGCTCTTAGTGTAATCATTTTTTAATATGATGCTGGGTCATTCTTAATTTGAGAAAACTCTTGCACAGAATTAAATCAGCAGAACAATGGAAAGGCCTCTATATTGTGTGAAGCTACACGACTGCTAAAGGACTTGATTGGTCAGATTGAGTACTTACAAAAGGAGAATGCATCCTTGTTGTCTGAATCCAACTATGTAAGGCACTTTACAGATTCCTTTGCCCCTAAATATTTTGCTAGTGTCATGTATGTAGAAGATTCAAACAATATATGCGTACTCAATGCTTTAGCTATCTAGCTAAATCCATACTAGTTTGTGTGAATCATTCCTTATGCATTGGTCTTTGTTAGAGCTGAGAAGAAACTTGTACATCTAGTAGTGCATTCTTTTAATCAATCATATTTTCATGCAAGTTCTTTGAAAATTGAACAGATGACCGTTGAGAAGAATGAGCTGAGAGAGGATAATTCTGCCTTAGAAACTCAGATTGAGAAATTACACAGTGAAATAGAAGACAAGGTGGTCCAGTCTAAACCGGACCTGAATGCAGCACCCCCTTGTGCAGAATTGAGACCCGAAGTGGCATCCCATTTTACTGGAACTTCCATCAGTTTGCCCACTCAAGACCACAGTTTGCAGCAAGCACCTGCTGTCTTTGTCATGCCCCTCTGCCCTGATCTCCAATCCTACCCGCTGCCAGATGCCACCCAGCTCACATCTAACACTACCTCACATGTGAGTAAACCGCATGCTAGGTATCCAACCTCGGTGGATTCTTGGCCATCCCAACTTCTCGGTGAGAAACCAACAGCAGGCAAAGAATCTCGACAACTTGGTAACAGTACCAACACTTGCAGAAGCAGAGAAACCGACCCTTGAAATGATTTATGTGCAATGCTTCACTTTGTCTTGGGTTATTTGAGAATGCCCCATATTGGGTGGTTTGTATATTTCTTAATGAACTAATGTAATACAAGCGAGTTGAGTTTGCACGATACATATCTTAATCTTAATTTGATAATGTCCGCATTCTTTTCAATATTTATCTCAATTGCAAGCAAATGTCTTATGGTTCCGAAGACTTGGCAATGTTGTAATTTTAGATGGGGATCGAGTCCTTTATGGACAATCTATCAACCCCTTAAGAATCCCTAAGACAACCCCACGTGTCAAAAGTCGAAGGCCACACATAAGCACGCATCTTAGCCCTTGGATTTGAAGGACCACAGTAATTTTCCATGAGCAGTGAGCACCCAACAATTCCTCTACGTGGCTTTTGCTTTTTTTTTTTTTTTTTGGCCACCGCGCGTATTCTTTGGTAGTGCTATAAAACACACCCGTCTGCCCCTGCTCGCTTTCTCACTCTCTCTCTTTCAGAAACCGACAGAGAAAACGACAGAGAAAAACCCTAGCTTATTCTAGAAGCTTCAGTTTAAGCTCTGTATCAGAGAGAGAGTGAGTGATAGAAACATACATTGAGAAATCAAAGATGGGATCTGGTGCCGGCAGCTTCCTCAAAGTGCTTCTTAAGAACTTCGACGTTCTTGCTGGGTAGGCCACTCTCACTCTCTCACTTACTTTACCAAAATTGCTCAACCACAAAAACCCAGAAGAAGAAAAAAAATCCTTTTCTTTTTTCGACAATTTGATTGATGGTGTTTTGTTTCTTTGCAGGCCTGTGGTTAGCCTTGTTTATCCACTGTAAGTTGAGTTCAAAGACTGTAACTTGCACACACTTTCTTTTCTATCTTCTTTCTCTTTTTTAACTTTTTTTTTTTTTTAGTGTTTAACTTGAAATTCTCTGTAATGGGCATTCTATTTTTGGGTTTGTTGATAGATATGCCTCGATTAGGGCGATTGAGACACAGTCTCCTGCTGACGATCGCCAATGGCTCACGTATTGGATTCTGTATTCTATGATTACTTTGTTTGAGCTCACCTTTGCCAAAGCCATTGAGTGGTAATTCTTTTCGTTTCTAAAATGTAGCTCCTTTATTCTTGATTTATTTCACTTATTTATAATCTGGGTCTGCATTGAATGTGCTCTTCACGTAACTTAAGATTTGAGACCTCTGAAAAGGTAGATTATTTGTATAAGATTCTGTAGTTAAATTTTGGTCTAAACTTTTCTTTTTGCTGTATTTCCATTCTTGAGCTCTCTTTAAAAAAACCAACATATACACAGCTGATATGCATTTCTTTATGTGGTTACATTGGACAAAACAAACCCCACTGGGGTTCGATCCTGGGTTCCATGGGGGAGGGGGAATCTACCACCACTGTGGTGGGAAATTATCATGAAAAATCTTTCAAATTGTATAATGAACTTCTTGTTTTTTTAATAATAATCTCTTCCACACGTTTACTGTTTAGAACAGAACAAAATCTTATTGGTGCATCGATGGAAAATGTATAAAAACTGATCTTTGTCAGGGCTGTAAAGTCTTGCATTAGATTCTCATAAATCCCAGGCTGTTATAATCCATAAATGATGCACCATGCTGCCTTTCAGTTGAGTTTGTGTCTATAATGTTCTAAATCTTTTCTGACAGGATTCCGATCTGGTCATACGCAAAGCTAATTCTTACTTGTTGGTTGGTCATCCCATACTTCAGTGGTGCTGCATATGTTTATGAACAGTATATCAGACCTTTCTTTCTCAACCCACAGAGAGTTAACATTTGGTATGTTCCAAGGAAGAAGGATGTGAGTAAGCCAGATGACATTCTAATTGCTGCAGAGAAGTACATTGCAGAGAACGGGACTGAAGCCTTTGAGCAAATCATTCACAGGGTATGCTTATTGAGCATAATATATATGAATGTTCGTAGTGATATGCTTATAATGTTACATATCCCTTTTGATAGCTAAATTGACAACAGAAAATAAGAAAGTGGCATTTGCAAGTGGTGATGGCTAAGTACATTTTTATTGCGTATCCCATTCAAATATTTGCAAGGCACATAATTTTAACTCATGCTTTTCACAAGTTGGCTGAACATAACCTTTCGTATTTTGTAGGCTGATAAGTATCAGAGCAGCGGGAGATCCGTCTATGATGAGGCATCTAGATATTATTGAGGCTTGTAGTGTCGCAGTACGTTTCACTGCCATCCAGTCCCTTGGTGTTATAGGGAAAAAGATGTAGGCTGTTGTGTTTGGCTGATAGTTATTAATGCTATCTTTTGTTTTGTAAAGGATACTGAATGTTCCTGGTTTATTATATGTAATTATCCTGGTTTGGTCACGTTTGTTTTTGTGGTTATTTATTTTACAATTACCTCTTGCAGCCATTTGTTATATTTTCCATTTTTTCCCCTTTAACTATGATTTTATGAGTTTGAATTATTGTGGTAATCGTTGTTAGAAAATGTTTGGATGGTAACTTTGGAAATCCCCGGGCCAAAATGAAAAAGCAAAAATAAATACATTCAAGGTAAAAGTTATGCAAAGTTCACTCGAGAAGACAAAAGCCAGAGGCCCTAGAACTATTGAAGAATGAGGCTTTATTATTAATAAAATCTCATTTCTTTCAATTCATAGTCATCCGTTCAACACATACAAGGAGGAATAAGTTCTTCAATTAACAGACAGAGATCACTGATTCATGGGCTTGTTTAGGCGCAACAATAGCCTTCATTGTTGGTCCCAAAAATCAAATTTAGGGATCAGTTTCTTCGGTTTCAGCTTCTTTCTCATCAGCATTCATGGATTGGTAGAGGTACTCCTGGGCTTCAGCAAGTGGTGATTCTTTTGCATCGGCAGCATATAATATTTTCTTTATTGCTACTGCCATCTGCATGAAATTTAATCGCGGCATAATAAGTTGGTTAATACAAAGACATCATCATACTAAATCACCCAAATTCATGAGGAGGGGAGGGAGTTGTTTTGTTTCTAGTCAATACTAGTACGAAATGCTGAGCCAAAGGAAAGGCATAACCTAGCTCCAAAAGGAAATGAAGAAAACCGAAGCGCAGAGTACTCATGAGCTCAATATTCCACTAAGAATTTCAATATTTTGCTTCAAAAGTTATTTAAAAGTTGTAACCTATAGCAAATACAAATTGTTTGTCAACCTCAGATGCACTATGAAATTCGAAAAGAGATACTTGAGCAACAGGGAAAGAAACATACAACAGCCATGCTAAACACATGTAAGAACACGATTAAACATGTTGATTGCAAAACTGTAAGACAAATATACTAAAAACCTGTCAGAAATTCCTACCGGAAGTTCCTCCAATTCAGACGTCTGACAAAGAATTTCAATATCCCTTAATTTTGCAAAGTAAAAATCCCTTTCTTTTTCCAAAAGGTCCACGGAGAGCTTGAGATCAGTAATCTGTACAACAGAAGCACACAACAAAACCTTTTAGGAATCAACAGTGCACTGAACTGCATAATTTAGAAAACCGAAGACCTTTTTCTTGGAGAGCGAGAGCGAGAGAGAGAGAGAGAGAGAGGAATGACTTCCTAAGGCAACAATCAATAGACTGATAATGATACCTCCTTGGACAAAGCCTGAACCTCTCCTGAAGAATTAGCACCCCCAGCCGCTGCATAAGGCTTCCCCTGCTTTGGTCCTAAAGAGTTCAGCATCAAGCAATGAGAGGCACTCTTAGGTGTTAAAAATAAAATAAATGGAGTAGAAAGTTTAGGAAGGCGAACTGACCAGAGGTTTTATTGAGACCAACTGTATCACCAGAGCCAGGGTTATGTAAATTGTTTGCTTGCAAAGATTTTGAGGATTTCTGAGAACCCTTCGGATACCGATCCTTCCCACCCTTGCACCTTCGCTCCACGGGGTTATAGTTTCTACAAGGTTAAAAGATGTAAATTGAAGGAAAAGGATCGTTGATGTAATACCAACACACATGAACCTCAAGATTTGAAAGGAGAGAAGAAATTCAGAAAAAGAGCATACTCATTCATTATGCCACCATTTACAGAATCACAGTAGCGCTTCAGCCATTGCAAGAACTCCAAGTTGTCCAAAGGCCTGCCTTTAACAAGTCTATTGACTTCAAGATGCTGCAGCACAGCCAAGGAGAAAAAGAATTGAGATCAGTAAGAATATAAATTCTCAATTGTGCCAAAAACCACCCCCAGTCTGGTTTCTCAACTCGCCTAAATCTAAGTTTGCAATATCACAAACTATCCATGTCAAGGAAGACCACCACCATTTACAAGTTGAGTTCCTCAGTATGACAAGCAATAAAACTGGGATCAAATATTACAATGGAAATACATCTCAACCTTACTCTTCTTCAGTCATTTACAAACAAAGAACCTCAACACATGCATAAATCTACATAGAATTAAATACAACCAACAGAAACCAACACATGTAAATGCTGGCTTTATCCTAGAAAACTGGTCATGCACAGTGATCTTTTCTTTTTCTTAATATCCCCAACAAAGTTGAGACCAACCAACTGGTAAATATACCACATACGATCAGAAGACATTCTAGATCAAACAAAACCATGGTATGGTATGGACAAATGGGACCATATCAACATTGTGACCACTAGCATTCAAAAACATAAAGAATTCCTCCCACATAATTCAATCTAGCACTTGCATCATAAGTTTGCTTCTATGCATACAAAGTACATACATGGTGAAGATCAATACATCACCACAAACAGAATTTTGCTTTGGATAGTTTATTATTCTAAAAGTGAGTGAACGTACTGGAGGTGTTTGTAAAGAAATTTCAAAATATGGTTATTCCTCAAAAGCCATATGGATAAGGAGGTTTCCATATTAATTTCTCGAAAACCAAATGAAAAAGGACAAGTGAGCACCAAGATGAAAATACCTTCTCAATTTTCAACTTGTTGAATACTTCCTGCAGAACCTTATAATTTTGGATCATATCATATTCTGTCTTAGCATCAAAATTGACCTACAATAACCAATTAGAAGAAAAAGGAAGCATCCTGTTAGGAATAAAGGGGCAGGGAGCCATTCTAGCAATAAAAATGTTAATTCAAATACGATGTACAGATCTAAGAAATAAAAATTGCAGAGAAATGCTTATACCTTGTGCATTGGAACAACTCCTGGATAGGTCATATCCATCATTTGACATTGCACAGCACCAGATGCAGCCTAGCCACATTTGTTCACATGATTAGAAATACTAGAATTCATTTTCAAATGGAAAAATTAAAAGATGAAAATTGCACGATGTGACCTAAATCCTGGGGAAATATCCAATGAAAAAATATCAACAATCAAACTAAAACTAGTTGCACAAAATCTAACAGATATCCAACTTCCATGGGATCAACAATCACTTCCATGATCCATCAACTTGATTAAAGGATCATAATCATTTTGCTTCTCAGACAGATAACTGTACCATCACACTCCTACTATTCTACAACATATTTCAAAATCCCAACGTTATAGCTTATCTGCACATCATACAGGCCTTAAGTATATGTAGTTATGAGACTAATGGAGGCCGATAGCTCTTGGAATCATTGTATGTTACCTCAAGTTTATCTTCCTTTCTTATTTCTCAGGCAAGGCTGCCATTTTCAACTTGACATCTAACCTTAGTTCCACTCATCCATGTTAAGACCAGTATATTTTTATAAATTGTTCAAATGCAAAACTCAGAGTTGAGTTCAAGACTGGGGCTAATGCTGTTACAGCTGTTCTACATTATATGTGGGTTTACCCCATACACAAACACAACTCAATCACAAGTGGTATACTACTTCCTATCATTTAGTTCGTGAACAAAAAACAGTAAAAACCCACAATTCGTTGTCACAGTAAGTCAGGCGATATTATGCACCTATGATCCACGGATCAACGAAAATGCACTAAAAAACAAAACCTTCCTTTGAAAATGCACCAGAGAGCGTAATTAAACACTTTGAAAAATCAAGCAGATAAACCATTCAACTTTCCGGCAACCATGGACGCAATTACTTCAATTGGATTATATTTTAACTTAAAATTAAGAAGGAAAGCACACAGATTTGATGGACTCAAACCATACGAGGATATAAAAAAAGGCAAACGCAAATATCTAAGATTTCTAACATGGGAGAGCAATGAATAAATGAATCATTCAGAAAAACAAAAGCCAAGGAAAATTGTACCACTTAGCATCAACAAAAATTGCAACAATGTTCAGATAAAGAAACCCAGGGATCAAGATCGTTTCTTTTCACACTCTCATTCTCAAAAAGCCTTAAAACAACATTCGCCAAAACAGGAAAAAAGAAAGAGAACCTCTTCAATGCGAGAGAGATTGAGCTGAAGACGATTGTTGATCCATGTCAAAATCTCATTTCGTCCAACAAAGTAAGCACTGTCCATTATGCCTATGTTGGAAGCCATTTGAACCCAGATTTCCCAGTTCTTCCAATTCGCAGACCCAGAGACAGAGAAAGGAGAAAATGCCAAAATAGAGTTGGAGATGAAATGTTGTTTTAGTATTTAAGACGATGAGGATTTAGGGTGTAATGGGCTTTCTTTTCCCCCAAAAAAAAAAGATTACTAGCAAAAAAACCTGTTTCTGTTTTTGTTTTTGTTTTTTGAAAAGAAAGAAAAAGATAGTGAGAAACTGAAGGATGGGAATTGAATGGTGATAGAGAAGAGAAAAAAAAAAAACTGAAAAGGAAAAATGCACGACTGGCGGGCACTGAAATGAGGGATTTTTTGATATTTTGTAATCTGGATGGTACGTATCGTAACTGCAAGTCTGCAATTGTCAAAACAAGAGGGGTTTATTTTGTTTTATTAGTTTAATCCTTTTTTTAATCTTTTTTTTCCTCATGAAATTATCATATTTTATTTAAAACATTATTATTTTTGCTAATTAATTTTTTAAAAAAATATTTTATGCCACGTGGGATTGGCAGTGACCTTTTTCACGAGCATCATATATCACAAATTTTTTTCCTTTTTTTTTTTTTTTTTTTGTTGGGTGTGTGAGTAAATTTTTGTGCCCAAATGGTGTGGTAGGTATTCAATCAAAAACAAAAAAGGTGGGGTAGGCAAATTGTAGTATTTTAGTGGTTGCCTATAAAAGAGATTTGTTTATTTGTGCTCACAAACATTGCTATAAGTTCATGGTCACATTCATTGATCCTCATCATCAAGTTTAGGATTTGGTCCATTTGGATTAGAAGTAGACATCTTTTTCCAAAATTGGTGATGGCCTGCAAAGGTGAGAGCAGGCCAACATTGACAAGGTGAGAGAGTTCCTCAAAAACAAAAATGACACAATGAGATTTCATCTTACTTGGGTTTAGTTGGAATTGTGCTTGTCAAGTTGTCAGCCAAATTATAATATATGGTTGTTCAGTGTTTTTGAGTCAAAAAGCATCTCTTCTTTGTGCAACAGTGCAAGTAAGGCCAGAATATAAAGTCTTTCAGCCGTCCAATAACAGGGTCCCCAACAGAAGTTTTCTTTTTCTTTTTCAGATTCTGGCTTTTCTTCTTTTAGCATAAAAGTTACAGAGAGATAATGAGACTAACAGCAAAAATGCTTATGATTTTGGTTTCGTGCTTCAAAAAGAGGGTGTTGCTTGAAGCCTTGAACCATTTTATATGGTGTAATATGGAAAATCAGAAAAACACACGTTGTTATGGCTTATGGGGTTTGAACTTGAGATTATTGATATGCAAGTTGTTCTTTTTTATTAAGCTAAACCTCGCTGGCAGAATTTTGAACTTTATAGATTGAGTAGATTACATGCATCATTCAAATCTATTATGAGGAAATGAAAGATATGGTGGGTTGGCCTAAATATGTAATATATTGGAGCCATTTATAATAGGGACATTTTGGCAAAAGCAAAAGGAGAGAAAAATTTTAAAAGACGCAAAAATGGACAAAAATGCCCTTATTTATTTTAAAATTTCCTAAGGAATTCAATACATTTGCATGTCTTTGATTTGAAAGTTGAGTGATTTTTTTATCTTTTTTGAAAAAGCTTTGGCTTTTTCCAAAAGTGAAATTTATTTTATGTCTAAAACCTAAAAAACCTTTTATTATTATAATAGTGTACCTAACTGAATCCAGATTTGACAGCAAAATTCACTCACTAAATGCCTATTCAATGCAAACCATTTGGTGGTTGCAAGTTGCAACTTTGTCGCTTGTCGGTTTCACCTAAATTTCCAAATTATGAAGAGAAGAGAGCCATCTTTATGGCTTGAGGTATAAAAAATAGCAAGTATAAATCTTAAATCCTTTTTATTTTTTTCAAAGTTTGGAAGGGAGAGGAGGTATCATTGGGGTTCAAACTTGAGACCACTGATCTAAATTATGGACCGGTTGGAATACATCTTGAACCTTTTTTTAATTCTTTTGTTACATGCATTTACCGATATAATGTCCATTAGGTTGGGATTTTTTTTCCTTTTGGTTTGAGAAAATTTGCCCTACATGAACAACAATTCGGGCGTATCTTTTTGTAACTAAAAGGCCTACAATGAAGAATTTTGGTTTAATAAATAGGGAGTTTCACTAAAACACCCAAAATGGGGGTTGAAATTATAAAAAAACCCAAGCACTATTTAAACATATAAACACACTCAAAACCCATCATTACACACACTTAAAACCCATTTATAAACACACCCAAAAAGTTGACTTTGGGGTTGATTTTGGGTGTGTTTCTATATTTAAATAGTGCTTGGGTTTTTTTATAAATACATGTCTAGAATTGAGTTTATTTATAAATTTGTATAATAAATAATGAGTGGTTGTGTATATCTATAGGCCCAAAAATAGAATTGGGTCTTATAAAATATGGGCTAACCCATTTTAAAAATAGGTAGAAGTTTGGTATCACCGCGACACTAACGCATTGACCAGCGTTAGGGTTTTAAGAGGTTCTCTTTCTTTAAAAGGAGAGCTCAGAATTTGGTTTGTGTTTTCATCGAAGCAGAGGGGACGTGTGGTCTCGACGGAGAACAACCATGGTTCACGTCTCCTTCTACCGCAACTGTATGCTCTCTCTCTAACTCTCTATATTTGATATTTGATCTCATATATGCATATATTGTATATTCTCTGATACTTGAATAATTTCTGTGATCCTTGAGAAAGTTGTGTTATTCCGAACAATGAGTGTTTTGGGTCTGAAGTTTTACATTTGAAAGTTAGTGAATTGATATTGTTCAGTGGCAAAGTTTTGATTTTGATTATCAGCTTTTTGATTGTTGTCCTTGGTTTTGCTTTTGTTCTTTTGGCGCCGAAAATTTTGGATTTACTTATATACAGTCTTCACTGAGACGCTGGCTTAATTGTTGTTCCTCATACACAAGAAAGAAAAGTTAAAATTCGATGTTAGATTGGAAATGTTATTGGGATTTGGAGAAAATGGAAATTTCAAAAAGCTTAGTTGGGTACATTTTACTTTTTAGGTGGTTGATGTTAAATTCTCATTTTGTAATGATCAATTGTTGGACAATTCAGATGGAAAGACGTTCAAGAAGCCGCGTCGGCCCTATGAGAAGGAGCGTTTGGATGCTGAGCTGAAGCTTGTTGGAGAGTATGGGCTCCGGTGCAAGAGAGAGCTGTGGAGGGTTCAGTATGCTCTGAGCCGTATCAGGAACAATGCAAGGATGCTTCTGACCCTGGATGAGAAGAACCCTCGTCGTATCTTCGAGGGTGAGGCTCTCCTCCGGAGGATGAACCGGTACGGACTCTTGGAAGAGGGTCAGAACAAGCTTGATTATGTTTTGGCTTTGACTGTGGAGAACTTCCTTGAACGTCGCCTGCAGACAATTGTGTTCAAGACTGGTATGGCAAAGTCCATCCATCATGCCCGTGTGCTTATCAGGCAGAGGCATATCAGGTAAATCTATTTGTTCCTTTGCCTGCAATGTAGATCAAGGAAGTCTGCTATATAGTTTTAGTTCTAGTCTATTAATGCTGATTTGATTACATGGTCAATCTCAAATGAATGCTTGCTTTCCATGTAAAGCTAGAAACAAATGAAAGTACTAGTTATACATCAAATAAATGTTCCTTGGTTATATGCTTGTAGCGCTGGTATGTTCATTATTTGGGTGGAGGAGAGATTTAGAGCTAATTTGTTATAAAGTTGAATAAAGCAGTCTTAGAGTTAGAGCTCATCTATTTTACCACCCAATATCCAGCAAGTTTTCAGTATAAAGCCTTTGTGATGCTTCAAAAGATGTTGTTTTTCTAGTTGTATTGTCATTTCTGCTGTTACAACATCTGATATGGTGGTTTGAATGAAGAAGCTGCGCATTGCTAAACGACTATGAAAATCAACCAATTTTCTTTTGTTGCTAGAGCCTTCATAGCATGATGAACATTCATCTTCACTATGCTTTGTTCTTTTATTGTGCACAGAGTTGGGAGGCAAGTGGTGAACATCTCTTCCTTCCTGGTGAGATGTGATTCAGAGAAGCACATTGATTTCTCACTCACAAGCCCATTAGGCGCTGGACGTCCTGGCAGAGTGAAGAGAAGAAACATGAAGGCAGCTGCCAAGAAGGCTGCTGGTGGAGATGCAGATGAAGAGGATGAAGATTGAACAGAGAGTTTTGACCATTAGTTTCTCCTAGTCCTACTAGGCTTTACTTCTCAGTTACTATATCCCATATTGGCTTGCAAATAATTTTTGTTTCCGAACTTCATTTCTGCTTCACTCGAGTGAACAATTTTGCATTTGATTAGTTTGAAATGATTCAATTTTTCTATAAAATATAATCTATTTTGCATCTCTTCTCTGTGGGCTTGGCTTATCACTGACTTGGTCCAAAACCTCACATTGCATAGGTCATATTTTATTATATGCTTAATTAAATGATTAAATATTTATCATTTGTCATCAACCCATAAAACTATTCTTCTTCAAACTTCACCCAACCCTCCCAAAAACAGAGTGCAGCCATGGAATCTATCAACATCTTCAAAGGCTATGGCAAAGTAAACCCAGATCAACTTGAAAATCAAACTCAAACCTCAAACCCAAAATCCCCCAAACCCCAAAAGCCCATCTTTTCCACTCTCACCATCTCAGCCCTCATCTGCTTGACCTTGGTGATCGGCCTCCTGCTCGCAGCTCTCATCCACGCGTCCAACTCCGAGTCCCCTTCTCTCTCCAACTCCAACTCGGCCGAGTCAGCCATCAAAACCATCTGCAACGTGACTCGCTACCCCAACTCGTGCTTCACCTCCATCTCCTCCCTCAACGCCTCTCCAAAGCCCGACCCAGAAGCCATTTTCAAGCTCTCTCTCGAAATCTCCGTCTCCGAGCTCTCAAACGTCTCGTCTCTGTTGAATACGATGAACTCCGATCCCGCGACTCGGGACTGCGTGGATCAGCTCGAGGACGCGCTGAGTCGGCTCAACGACTCGGTTTCGGCGATGGGACAGAAGTCGTTAACCGAGGCTAAAGTCAACGACATACAGACGTGGATAAGCAGCGCTGTGACAGATCAAGAGACGTGCTTGGATGGGTTGGAAGAGATGGGATCAACGGCTGTCGATAAAGTGAAGAGCAAGATGAAGAGGTCCATGGAGTACACCAGCAACAGCTTAGCCATTGTGGCTAATTTCAAGGCCATTCTTGACAAATTCCACATACCGCTCCACTAATTATTATTAGATTAATGGAATAAAAGAAAAATAAAAAAAAGTTGTGGGCTTTTTTTTGTTGGGGTTTGACTGTTTTTATGTATCATTTTTGTTCTTGAATTATAAGTGGTGTTTGTTTGTTGTTGATGATTTGTGTCCTTCATTGACAACTTTGCACTTTGTAAGTTGTGAAAGTTGAAGATATATGAACAAAATGTAAATAGCCACATCCATCTTCACTTTAAAATCATCTAAATTAGAGAAAGAGGGATTCAAATTCGGTGCAGAGTGGGAAGCTTATTCGCTCTAGCCAACTTGACGTAGCCCATGTCTGCCACCTCCATCTCATCTTGTAATTGGAATTTGTTTAATTTATCTACATGGATTGCTCCTTGTGCATGAGGAGAGAGGCATTTTCAATTTATTTGGATTTTTACACAAATATCTTATTCTTTCTTTTCTTTTTAATAAAGTTGTTTTCTCTCCCTCTTTTCTTCTGTTTTATCCTTTTGTGCCAAATTCTAGAGCTCTCAAATAGTAGTAGCTAGCAAGTGTCTTTTACCATTCATCTTTGGCATCTTACTCCCCTAAATGAAACAGGTTCCAAATGAACCTAATATAATATAGCAAAGCACACAATATTTTAGCAGACAAACAACCCTGTTGGTTGCTTTCATTTTTCTTCTTCTTGTCTTGGTTTTTATCCTAATCATTGAATGATTGTGATACAAGTAAATCTAAGAAAATGCTTCTGGTCAGTATTGTGCTGCAAATTCCATGTGATTAATGTGGGACCAAATATTATTATTATTATTATTATTTATATATTTAGTTGAAGAAAGATCAAATGATCACTAGCTAGCATTTTAACAATACAGAGAGATGAGAATAGGGTACACTTCAGAAATTTAAATTTAAAAAAACATAAATAAATATATATCATATTCCTCTGATAAATTAATCAATATCTCTCACTGGTTGGAAAGTCCAACCAAATTAAGACATTTGATTAAAATAGGCCGCCCAGAGAGACAAAGACAGAGAGAGAGAGAGAGAGAGAGAGAGAGAGAGAGAGGCATTATTAACGTTGGAAAAGTCTTCTAATAAGCTGTTCATCAACATCAGTGATGTCTGCAGAATCCAGGAGTTGAGATAGTCTTTGGCTCAGATCGTCTACCTCTTTATTCAGCCTCCTTATGTAACTGCAAGTTTCTTCCAAAATGCTTGATGCTGATACCTGCATATATATATAAGCACCACGTTATGATATATAATTGCTTAATTATAAGTATTAATCAGACAAACATACTTCTGCATAAATTTAAAAAAGAGAGAGTAATAATTCTGTTTAAACACAAAATCCATGCATGATTAGTTGAACGAATTCTTGCTGATTGAGGTTTCTACTTCTTATTACTACTACCTAGTATATAAGCTTGTTATGAAGATATTTTGAGGCTAACCTAGCTTCTTTCTATATATAGCTCTTGCAGCTTTGAATGACAAAGTTTAATCATCTATATATCAAGCATGAAACTATGTAGATTATATATGCATCTGGTTTCAACTTTCATTTCACATCAAGTTCTCTTTCCCAGGTGTCCTCTAACCATCCATCATGCCATCATGCCATCACCTTCATCATTATGTTAGTGACATGAACTAATATGAGAATTGATAGAGGAGCACAAATTATATATATATATATATATATATGTGAAAATTGAAAAACAAAAATAGAATTGTAATGCATAAGCCTAAGCCTATAGGCTATACCGATGCGTTGCGCCTATGATCAAGCTGGGGTAGCAGAGGTTTTAATTTTAAGACGAGCTCCTTAATCTCATCATCTGCGAGTTTAGAAGCTCCTGAGGATGATCTTCTGCTTGACATGGCTGATATGAAGGTGAGAGGAAAGAAAACACTTTGCTTATTTTCCTTCTCGCTATGAAATGTCTAGTAGGGGGGGGAAGTTCAAGTACGAGGCCAACCCTGCTTAAAAAGAGAGTGGAAATTGAGGCTGAAGACACAAATCTTTTTAGTTAGAAAAAGACACCAACGATATTGATATGCTGTTTGCGGTCCTATTTGTACAACATTTTGGCACTACAAGGGCCCTCTTCTTGTTTTAAAAAAATCATGGAAACAGCCAAACACCTTTATCTGTCTCAAATTAGGGCATCACATCTACCCCCATTTGGACACGTGGCCTACTTTAGGTTGCTAATCAGTGTTTAGTCTAGATGTTACATGCTACCAAAAAGATACTTTGTCCTTGTTTAATTAAGGACGATGGGGTTTCTTTGTTTGATGCATTGCCTTCTATCTTTAATTCTTTTTGGGTTTTGTTTGGTCTGTTTTTGGGAGTCTGCCGTCCTCTCCGTCTACTAAAAACCTTTGTTTAATTTGGTTCATGTTTGAGTCTTTGTTTTTTAAAGTACAAGCGATAGTCTAAATTATAGGGGATGAAGGTTTCTCTCTCTCACACACTACTATGATGCCATGGGGTTAGAACTTGAGACCACTAATTTGTAAATCAATAGCCTTTTTCATTGGGCTAGTACCTGTTGATCATGTTTGAGTCTTTAATGTGAACAAATTAATAAAAAAGAATTGTGGACAACAAATCAGAAAAATATTTTAATGAGTGAGTTGGTTAAACATCACAATTCTGTGATGCTCTCCATGCTTTTATTTCAAGAAAAACAAAAAACATCGAAAAATAAATAAGGTCGTGACATAATCTTCTCCTAACCACATATTGGACAAATACATTTATGTCGAATCTTATATTAGTTGGGAGACCGATAACTTTAACTCACAAAGCACAGTGTTAGCCACCACTCTTGCTAGAAAATAACTAATAAGAAAGCAAAGTTTGGTGGACATTACATAATTAATGTACGAGAAGCACATAGATATATAAACTCCCTGATGAACGTGACTCTTATAGCTTCAGTGATAGAACATTTTACTTACACATTTAGGTAAGAATTCGAATATTTAGCTCCTCATCTTTGAATAAAAAAGAAGATATAAGATTAGATTGAAATATTTCAATTAAATTATATATAATTGAAGATTCAAATTGATAATAATCTCATGTAGAAACATGAGTCAACTTATCCTAATAGCTGAATTATTGTGGTTAAATGCCATAGACTTATCAAACACAAACAAGATATTGTAGCGATGTAGTCCAATAGTCTCAAATAAACCTATATGATTCACTTTGATTTCTTTCTTTTATAATTGATACGAGAGCTATGTCTTTTAACTTAGGAACAATCACATCAACTCGATCTGATGTCCAATCGCAATCTTGCCCATTTACGTTTAAAAAAATGTCAATAAGCTAAGCTCAATACTTATACGCTTAATAATGCAGGAACATATACTATTAACCATTTGAATTACAACCTTACAATATTTCAAGTTGTCCTCGAAACAGCCTTACTACTAACATTATGTACAAACCAAACCAATGATTTCAAAGCAGTAATAAAGCAGTAATAATTACAATTTGAAGGGTGACTTGCTGCAGGAATTGGATTATATTTGGAAGGAGGTTTGATGTCTTTTTTTTGGTCGGTGTGGAAATTGAGCAAAATGTGAAGTGAAGTGAGAAAAGAAGAAGATGGTTGATGTGACAATGCATGCACAAGTGGGTGAATGACTGAACTAAACAGACATGCGTATGAAGGCGCCACCTGAGGTGGTGAGGAGTTTGCTTGGACAAAGCCAATAAATGGCTCTTTGGCCTTATTTACCAACCCCCCTCCTCTCTCAATTTGGCCCCTAAATTTCCGGTACCCCAACTCAGGACTCTGTCCCAGAATCACATCCGCTGCAGCTGCCACGTGGCACCTTGTGATGCGAACATGTTCTTAAAAAATCACTGAGTCATGAGTCTCTCTCTGGACCCCTCTTCTTCAAGGTTTTGTTGCCTTTATCCTATGCATTGTACATGGCAGGCCAACATGCATCGATTAGTTAATTTGTAGCCTGCAGAAGATACAATGCAATCGAATGTCCTTCCAGCTAGGGCAGTAAAACCCACTATTGGACTAGGTAATTGATGAAAATCATGAGCTAAACTAAATTCCAATTCTTATTCGTTAAGTCAGTCTTATTTTAGTCGATAACATGTTGTTATGTTTTGTTGAGGACAATGATAGTGACACATTTTCGATGGCATATATATCGATACCCGTTTTGTAGGTGGACGATTGTAGATATACCCTTTTAATAATTTATTTGTACAGTTACAGAATGGACCGTTCTATAGCCGGGCTATTGCTTTACAAACCCTTTTAATTTCTCAGTACATTTACTAATTAACAATCCTAGTCTATTACAGCCTGAAATTTCATCTTCAAGCTTGACAACACTTCAGATTCACCCTTTATAATTATCCAGTTAACCCGCCTCCTATGACAGATCGTTTTCTTGGCTGACCTATTTTTACGCTTATGACTATGACCCAATAATCCCAGCAATATAAATGCTCAAAAACTGTGGTCCATGCACTGCACTGTATGCTACATGGTCTTCTACAGCTCAGGCAAAAGTACTTTTGGAGACCTACCACTAGTCTACTAGTGGTCATTAGCTTCTGTGTAAAGCTTGAGATTCCAGAAAGAGTTCCATATGCAAAAACACACATGCATGCCACCATGCCAGAAAAAAAACGTACATCTTGTTTTTGTAAATGGCATGGCCACAAACTTTATATCTTTGCTAGATTCTGTTTGGTTTTTATTCATATGAACTCAGAAACTTGAGAGCTGTTTAAAACGTGCAAATGAGCCTGCAGGATTCAGTTGATAGCATTGTTAGTGGAAGTGGTTAAAGATTGATTCTATTTGGTGTAGTTTAGATTTACTCAAATAATTAATGTGCTAGTACTTTGTACTGGTATACTGATCTAATCTAAACAACAAGTGTTTGTTGCTAAGTAACAGAACTTGAACTTGATGATAAAGAAGCAAGTGCCCAAAAAATTTCATATGAAATGAGTGGTTGGTACCGAATACCAATCTGTTTTGTCGA